TCAACCGCGTTTTGAGGGGAGATTAAGAAAGGACTTTAGAGAGAGAGAGAGAATTGAAAGGGTTTATTCCCTTTAATCATTAACACTGTAGCTACAGTGTTCATCCAGAGAAACCTCAGTTTAGGGATTTGCTCTTGATTTGTAATTTCTTGTTTGATTAATAAGAAATTGACTGTGTGGCTCCCGAGGACGTAGGCAGTTGCCGAACCTCGAAATCTTGGTGTATTTTTTTCTATTCTGCGTTTCTGTTGCATTAGGGATTTCAGCATTAAATTCTCAACAACTGGTATCAGAGCGTGAAACGATCTAGAGGAAGTCAGATTCAAGTGGGAGCCATGGCCGCAGATGAAGGAAAGGTGAGATTAGAGAAGTTTGATGGATCAGATTTCGGATTCTGGAAAATGCAGATAGAGGATTATCTGTATCAGAAAAATCTGTATCAACCTCTCTCGGGGAAGAAGCCGGAGGGTATGAAGGAAGAAGATTGGAATCTTCTGGACAGAAAAGCCCTCGGGGTTATTCGTTTGACGTTAACCCGCAATGTTGCTTTTAACATTGCAAAGGAGAAGACCACGGCGGGTCTTATGGCAGCACTCTCAAATATGTATGAGAAGTCATCAGCCTCAAATAAAGTCCATTTGATGAGGCGGTTATTCAATCTGCGAATGGCGGAAGGTGCATCGATAGCACATCATCTCAATGAACTCAATACAGTCACGACCCAATTGAGTTCAGTTGATATTGAGTTTGATAAGGAAGTTCGAGCGTTGATCCTTTTGTCTTCCCTACCAGAGAGTTGGAACGCTACGGTCACAGCTGTGAGTAGCTCATCGGGAAGCAACAAGTTGAAGTTTGACGACGTTCGTGATCTGGTTCTCAGTGAGGAGATCCGACGGAGAGAGTCGGTGAAGCTACAACCTCTTTAGTATTGCATACAGAGTCAAGAGGTAGAAGTTCAACCAGAGAAAATGGATCAGATGATAGGAGATCCAAATCCAGAAATCCCAACAGTTTGAAGGCTATCGAGTGTTGGAAGTGCGGGAAAACCGGGCACTACAAGAATCAGTGCAGGAGTGCAAGGGAGGAGTGGGAGGCAAATGCAGATATGAACATTGCCTCCACCTCAGGAGGAGATGATGCACTGATATGCTCTTTGGAGAGCAAGGAGGAGTCTTGGGTGTTGGACTCGGGAGCATCATTCCATGCTACTTCTCAGAAAGAATTCCTCGAGAAGTATATCCCCGGAAACCTTGGAAATGTATATCTTGGTGACGATCAAGCATGTGCCATTATTGGCAAAGGTGTAGTGAAGATTAAGCTGAATGGGTCAGTATGGGAGCTGAAGGATGTCAGGTATATTCCCGACCTGAAGAGGAACTTAATCTCAGTAAGCCAGCTGGCTAGTGAAGGCTACACGATGACTTTCCATGGCGATGACTGGAGGATTTCGAAGGGCGCAATGACGATTGCCAGAGGCAGGAAGACTGGTACCCTGTATATGACAGCGGGTGCACGTTGTTCGATCTCAGTTGCAGCAGGCAATGAGACTTCAAAACTATGGCACCAGAGACTCAGTCATATGAGTGAAAAGGGGATGAAGATTATGCACACAAAGAAAAAACTCCCAGGTTTACAATCAGTAGATATTGATATGTGTGAAGAATGCATACTTGGAAAGCAGAAGAGAGTTAGCTTTCAGGCAAGTAACAGACCCCCCAGGAAGCAGAAGCTAGAGCTTGTTCACTCAGATGTTTGGGGACCAACAACCACCGCGTCGATTGGTGGGAAACACTACTTCGTGACTTTTATTGATGATCACTCTCGGAAAGTATGGGTCTACTTTCTGAAGAAAAAGTCAGAAGTGTTTGAGGCTTTCAGAAGATGGAAAGCCATGGTCGAGAATGAGACCGGTTTGAGGGTAAAGCTGCTGTTGTTTGTGTTCTTATATGTAGGTATTGGCTCAAGATTGAAAGATTTGATGATCGTTGGAAGTTTTACAAGAGTTTGAAGCAACAACAAGATTTTGAAGGCATGGTTCGTGAAGAAAATGGATGCACGAGTATGAAGAACTGGAATTTCGACCATGATGCAATTTGAATCAAGAAAAACGCAAAAGATAAAAGTTGTATATCTCTTCAACAGGATTCCAATGCAACTTGAATCACCTCATTACGAGGTCGGACGCAAATGTTATAGCCAAAATACCGAAGACTGTACAGACAAGCACGAAATCAGCAAAACAGCCCCTACCACACCCTGGTGTGGTGCAGACCACACCGGTGGTGCGGAAATTAGTTATTTTCTAGATTTTTGGGGACATAAATAGATGTTTTGACTTAGGGTTTTGGAGATCTTTTTGTTATGTTCTTTTAGCCATCAACTAGCAACTATTCTAGGGTTCAAGTATTGAAGGAAGACATTAATCTCTTGTAGAAGATTGGATTGCAAGTTCTTATTTTGAAGATTTCAATTGAAAGACGGGTTAATTCTTTCCTCTCTTTGATTTATTTCTTCTTATGATTGATTTGCATAATTATTTGATGTCTTCTCTTATTCCAATCATGTGTGAGTAGATTTCTTGTCTAGGATTGGGAAAGAACCCAACTTTTTGGTGATTGATGATGAATTAATATAGGTTCTTGGTGAAAGTTTAAATCTTTGAACTTGATTTCTAGTATTTTAATTTTGTTGATTCGCTTGATCACCGTATTAGCAATCATAGGTAATTAATTGAAGGACTGAAAGGTGAAGATTAATACCGGATCTCTAGAAATTAAGCAGGGAGCTCGAACCACGAAAGTAGGCTAGATTCCTTAGGGATTTGATTTGGATTAGCATAAAGCTTAATGGGTTTAATTTAATCTTGATTCCACGAAAATAGGTTAATTGAGATTGATTAAGCACGATCTTTAGACCTTGAAAGAGGCTTTAGATTAATTTAGGCTAATTCACCCTTTTTAGAATTAACCAACACCAAGAATTGAAATAATCCATCATTGAACACCTAAGTTGTGGTGATAACCCAATCCTAGTCCTTCATTATATTGAATTCCATCCGATTAGTTGTTTATTTTATTTCTTTTATTAAATCTCTTCTAATTTACTCATTGATTTAGCTAGTCGAATAACGTGAGATTTGGTAATTAACCCTAGTCCTTGTGGGATCGACCTTGATAGCTACAACGAATCCGTGCGCTTGCGGATTTTGCCCTATCAAGTTTTTGGCGCCGTTGCCGGGGACTACGGTGTTAATATTGAGTGCTTACGTTATTAAGCTAGACTAGATTTTTTTTATTTCTCTTTGCTTCTCACTTTCTTTTATGCAAGGGAATCAAACAGAAGTAAACGACGAAAACAATCCTGAACTATCGGTGACTCTTGCAAACATAAGAAGGTCTATAAGGGAGCAAAGGAACACAGAACAAGCTACGATGGGAGATCAAAATCAGCTTCTTAAGGATTTCGCAGCCCCAAATGCTCAAGGCACACAGTCAAGCATTACAAGGCCCAATGTTGAAGCTAATAACTTTGAGCTGAAACCATCACTGCTCTCAATGGTTCAGCAAAATCAGTTTGGAGGAGGTGCTACTGAAGACCCGAACCTCCACCTATCGATTTTCTTGGAGTATTGCGACACTTTGAAACTTAATGGAGTGACCAATGATGCTATTCGACTCAGATTATTTCCGTTCTCTCTAAGGGACAAGGCTAGGGCTTGGTTGCACTCATTGCCAGCTGGGTCCATCACCACTTGGGATCAATTGTCCAGAGCGTTTCTTGCAAAGTATTTTCCTCCAAGTAAAACAGCACAGATGAGGAACCAGATCACAAGCTTTGTACAGAAGGAAGGAGAGTCACTTTATGAAGCTTGGGAACGCTACAAGGAATTATTGAGGATGTGCCCTCACCATGGACTGGAGAAGTGGTTAATTGTTCACACCTTCTACAACGGGCTCACTTACAACACACGGATGACTGTTGATGCTGCTGCAGGAGGAGCTTTGATGAACAAAACAATAGACGAGGCATACACTCTCATTGAAGACATGGCTCAGAATCACTATCAATGGGCGAACGAGCGTGCTCCTCAGACATCAAAAGGAGGCAAGTATGAAATAGATGCTTTAGACCATATATCCTCTAAAGTTGATGCTTTATTTAAGAAAGTTGAAGGTTTGAGTATTAATTCTGTGGCGTCTACTTCAATTTCATGTGAGATATGTGGCTATGTGGGTCATTCTGCACTTCAATGTCAATTAGGAAACCCCCCATCCATTGATACTTCTGGTAATGAGCAAGTTAACTATGTTAATAACTTTAATCAGAAGGGAGACCCATTCTCCAACACTTATAATCCGGGGTGGAGGAATCGTCCTAATTTTTCTTATAGAAACCCACCTGGAAATTTCATGCCCGCATCTAATTTTGGTCCTCCTGGTTTTCGTCCCCCTCAATCCAATTTCCCTTCTCAAAAGTCAAATTTGGAAAATATGATGGAGAAGTTTGTGATGACTCAATCAAAATTGAATGAAGAATTTAAGCAACAACTACAAACCACGAATGAGGTAGTAAAACAATTGGCCTCTAAGATGGATTCCCTAGCTACGCATAACAAGATGTTAGAGACACAAATCACCCAATTGGCACAAAATGTTAGCTCTTCCTCTAGGCCTTCAGGCATGCTACCTGGACAACCCGAGACAAATCCCAGGAGTCATGTGAATGCTATAACTCTTAGAAGTGGAAAACAATATGAGGGACCCAAGATGAAGGAAAATGATGGGGTGGATGGTCATCATGAAGAAAAAAATGAAAACGTGATAGATGTGGATAATGAGACCCAAACGCAAGAAGAAGAAAAAGTTGAAAAATATGTGGCCCCCGCTCCTTACAAGCCTCCTCTACCATTTCCCCAAAGGTTAGCTAAGGCTAAGTTAGAAAAGCAGTTCAGAAAATTTTTGGAGATTTTAAAAAAGTTGCACATCAATATCCCGTTCACTGAAGCTATCTCTCAAATGCCTTCTTATGCTAAGTTCTTGAAAGAGATCCTATCTAACAAAAGGAAGTTGGAAGAATACGAGACTGTGGCCCTTACTGAGGAGTGTAGTGCTATCATCCAAAACAAGTTGCCTCCTAAGCTTAAGGATCCAGGTTCATTTTCTATTCCTTGTGTTATTGGTAATGTCTCTATTAACCGTGCTTTGTGTGATTTAGGTGCAAGCGTAAGTTTGATGCCAATGTCCATCTATAAGAAGCTTGGCATAGGAGATTTGAAGCCAACCACGATATCACTCCAACTGGCGGATCGATCGGTAAAATATCCGGTAGGTATACTTGAAGATGTACCTATCCAGGTCGGTAAGTTCTTTATCCCGGTCGATTTCGTTATCTTGGAAATAGAAGAAGATTCTAACATTCCAATTATTTTAGGAAGACCCTTCCTTGCTACTGCAGGTGCTATAATCGATGTTAAAAATGGAAGGCTCTCTCTAAATATTGGAGGGGAGACGGTAGAATTTGATTTAAGTAATACTATGAAACTCCCTCTAACTGATAAAATTTGTTACAGGGTCGACGTCATTGACAAGTGTACACATGAGCAAATTGCAAACAATAACTCAGCTGATCCACTTGAGAAATGTTTGGTAAGTGATGGTTCAATAAATGATGAAGACCCCGAGGTAGCCGCGTATGCTCAATCTTTAGAATTATAAAGAAAGGACTAAACGATGGCACGACAAGAATATTCTTCGAAGAGAGTTTAATCAAGGAGATATGGTGCTACTTTTCAACTCTCGTTTGAAGCTTTTTCCGGTCAAGCTCAAATCTCGGTGGTCTGGACCTTTTCAAGTCCGTGAGGTTTTTCCTAGTGGAGTTGTTGAAGTTTGGAGTGAAACAACGGGATCTTTCAAGGTGAATGGGCAAATATTGAAGCACTATATTGTAGGTGAACAAAACGAGAAAGGGGTCACTTATACCCTTTCTGATCCCCCTTCGTCAAAGAATTGAGCGCAAAAGGGGTCGAGCTCATGACCATAAACGAGCGCTTCTTGGGAGGCAACCCAAGTTTTCATTCATTTTTTTAATCTTATTTGATTTCATTTTAATTTCATTTTTTTTAATTTTTATTTTTATTTTTTTGGCAATTGGATTGGCACAAATTTAACTTATAGCATTTTCAATCATGCAGGTGAGAAGAAGGGAGAACATGGCATAAAAAAACTGCAGAAAAAAGGAGTTAAAGATGGAGTGGCAGAGCCTACCACACCCAGGGGTAGTGTAGACCACACCCATGGTCCACAGGAAGAAAAATTTCAGAGCCTACCACACCCAGGGGTGGTGTAGACCACACCCATGGTCTACAGGATGAAAAGAATCCAGAACCTAGCACACTGTATGCCACACCCGTGGTTCGGAAAAAAAAAGAAAAAAAAACCCTCTTTCAAAACTCCTCCCCTTCTCTTTCGTTCCAACGCAAACCCCTTTCAATTTCTCTGACCTAACCCTTCTTCAACCAAC